GTATTCCACGCAGATGGTGAGGTCCGAGCAGCGAGGGCTCTACCAATAAGGGAAGTGCAGAGGTTCTGGCTGCGGCAGAGTGACAACCTCACCGCTCTTCCGCAGCTGTTGTAGTGTTGCGGACAGTTGTATCTCCGTCTAATGTCGCGCACTGGGCTGCAAGGCTGCTAATGTCTCAGACAACCCGACCGTCGGCGGGGCAACCGAGGGCGGGGCATCGAAGATGCTGTCTCTAGAGTTGTGGTGTTTGACCTTCATGCCCATAAAGTCGGGCTGCTTTATCATGCGGTATCGCAGCTAATGTTTCGTGTGGTGCTTCGTCACTGCTCTTTGCAGCATTTCCGCGGGAGCTTATCTTGCTGCTCACATGCAGCAGTTCCCCGCCGATGCCTGTACGTACAATTTGATGGGGGATGCAAGCGGCACCTCACAGCAGGGGGAGCGGGAGTGTCTTTCCTTGCCATTACCGGACTGCTCGGATGCAAAAGAGGCTGAGACGGAAGCGGTAAAAACTCGCCGCCGTTCTCAACCAGGTCGACTGTACTGGTGACCGTTAGGCAGTAGCCCGGTGGCGCGTGCAAGAAGGAGAGATCCAGTCCGGCGCCACATGGCGCCAAGCTCGCAGAGGTTTCGCCGAGGCGAGGCAACAAGCTCTGACAAGGTTGCAGCATGTTTCGGCAAGCTTAAATTCCAAAGGCCGATCGAGTCCTTGCAGTGGTCGCCACCGCCCCAAATCAGTCACAGGTTCATTGCATTTCGCAAGCTTTACAAGCGCTGCATTCTTAAGACGAAGACTCTCAGGCCGCAATCATTGCGGCCTGCCATGGGTCTCGAGCCTACTCTTCTGCCTCGCCAGTCTCTCTAACACTGTGTCACGCGCGTATGCCCTTCGGTGGATTGTCGCCGAAGAGGCCGACGCGGAATTTGTCTGCGGCAGCATTACACGCGCCCTGTCACCTGTGCGCATCGTTACAACCCCCATCCTCTAACCGGCCTGCACCGTCTTGGGCACTTGGGACAGTTGCTTTTGCCCTTGGCTGGGGAAAATCGGTGCCATTCCGCCAGCGGCATCTCACTCTTGAGCATCCGTGCTTGTCCGGCTGGGCGGAGAACTCGGTCAGACACTGGCTCCACGAATGCCCCGTCATTGCCCATGCAAAGACAGAGTCAACAATGCAAGCAGCAGTGTCCCGCATGTCGAGGGCTGGAAGTCATCTGCGCATTGGCCCGCATCAGCTCAGCTTGGAGATAAACGTTAAAGCGGCGGGGGCACTCCAAGGATGATGTCCACAACAAAGTGGAAATGAAGAGCGCAGACTGAGCAGGCAGCTGACAATACACTTGCAGCAACGTCCGTCAAGAAAATCAACCCAACGGCCAGACTAAAACTGCTTGAAATTGCAGTTCTGCAGGCATGTGGCTCTGCAGCTCCCACATCTCTGCAGGACTGCGATTGCTGCTCGCAGTTTCGAGTCTCAGCGGTTCCAATGATTTTCATGTGTAGCCGGTGACCTTGAGCACACTTCTGGTGCGGTTTGAAAGGGAATTATATTGCGAGCATCATCCTGCACCGTTCCATGGATTCTGCGTCCACGAGCGGAGAACGCCACCACCGACCGACCGCAACTTGGCCTGCCGCTTGCACTCACGCGCTAAGCCAGCCACATGTGGCTCTAAGCGACCTCTCTCTGGGGAGGGTGTTCCGGCTCTCCAGTCTGTGAGGCTGTTTCGAGACATGGGGGTAGAATTCGGTACTTGGAGGGCCTGTCGATTTTGCGGGCTGGAGGCTCTAAGGCTCGCGATCTTAGAGGCTCTAAAGTGCTGGCAAAAAACGAAGGCGTGCGGCATCGGAGGCGCTTTGAGGGGCGTGCGGAGGGCTCGCGAGCTGTTGGAGGCGCGCCGTCGTGCCTTACGCGCGCTTGTTCGGCGCGGAGGGCGTGGGAGCGCTCGTAGGTCCCGTCGTGCTTCGGAGCTGTTTGGGGAGCGACGCGCGCTTGCGCGCGCTTGTTCGGCGCGGAGGGCGTGCGAGCAGCTCGTAAGTTGCTCGTAGGCGGCTGGCAAGTGCTCGTGAGTTGCAAGCGAGCAGCTCGTAGGTTGCTCGTAGGCGGCTGGCGAGCAGCTCGTTGCAAGCGAGCAGCTGGTGCGTTGCTCGTAGGCGGCTGGCGAGTGCTCGTAAGTTGCCAGTAAGCAGCTCGCAAGCTGCCGGCGAGCACTCGTCGGCTGCTGGCAAGAGGCGCGCACTTAAAGTTCGTCTAAAGCCCGTTTTGCAAAGACTTCGGAGCCCCTAAGATCGTCCAAGCTGCGCGCCGTAGGCCCGTGAATCGACAGTGCTCCAAAGTACAGAATTCTACCCTATGTCTCGAACTGAGGCCTGTAGCTATCACAGAGTGGAGAGCTGGAACACCCTCCCCAGAGAGAGAAAAAAATCCTCCGGGCCCGGCCCCGTACTGGTTAGCTCGGCAGCGGGAAGCCCGCTTCTCTCAGCGCCTGCCGGTGCTGCTCCGTCGCCCGAGCATAGGCTTGCGGAACGTAAGCAGCGAGAGCCCACATGCTGCCCTCGTGCGGCTCGACCATGTGATAGCGGCGAGCATCAAAGCTCACTGGCTTATCGTGCATGTCCAGCCACCGCCCCCGGAGCTCTTGCTCCCCCTTCTTGCCGGCCAGCAGTGCGGTAGAATCCCCCTCGTGTCTTCGATCCACACCCGCCCGCCTGTGTACTCGCCCAGAGCAAGCGCATGATTCAAGTGCCCGGCCATGTTCTGAATGTCGCGGTGCAGCCCCATGCGCGGATTGAAGAGCACAGCTATAGACGTCCAGGTGCCGCTCGGAAAGCGGCTCTTGAGAAAGCAGTTCACGGCTGCGCAGGCCGCCCGCAGGCCGGTGGCATTGGAGACCCCGAGCACCCCGCCGTGGCCGAACAGCCCCAGCGTGGCATATCTCTCATAGGCCCCCGGCCCCACGGCCCGAGTGCGGCCCCGGTGCTTCCAGTCGGCCGACCACAGATCCAGCAGCCGCACGAGATTGGCTTCGGTCGGCTCCTCCGTGGCGTTCCGGCACGCCAAATCCATTTTTTACATTGACAGCATTTCGCACCAAAAACACGCATGGCCCTAAAACACCATGCCGCACCCCAATTTTTCGGGATTTTGAAGCCGCTCGGGGAGGGTGCGCCCCGACGGCCCCCGGCAGCCGGCCGTTTTGCGAGCCGACCACGCACCAGCGAGAGCCCGATTTCGGTGTGCCCCCCGCCTAGGGTTTGAGCACGTCTTCGGCCGGATCGTCCCTTTCCTGTCGAATCGGTGCCGGCCAGCCCCGGAACGTGGTCCGGGAGGGTTTAGGATGGGTCGAACACAGCCACACGGAATCGCCGAACATCACGGAACCGCCGCGCCTCCGATTCTCGGGGTGCGCCCTGCCTATGTTTCACACACCCTGCCGGGCCCGCCGGCCAAAAGCGACACAGCCAGCCTCGAGAAGGCCCGCGCATGACCCAAAGGGCTTTGCCGGGCCGTTTCACACCAAACTGTGGCGAGAGCGCGATTTCGGTGGGTACGTCCCCTAGGTTTGGCTCAAGTTTTCGTGGCCTCGGCCGCTCAGTGTCGATTCGCGGCGAGCCTGTGGCTATCGCCGACCTGATCCGTGGGGGTTTAGGATGCTCACTGATGCTCGGTGCTGCTCGCCTTTGCTCACTGATGCCTTTTCTTTTTGATTTGTAGTGTAGCTAGGCCTGCCGACTTTTGCAGTAACATTTTGCTAGAGTGCTTTTTGCCGGGGTTGCTTTTGGTTTGGTTCAGGGCACCCGAACCCCTTCGGCCCCCGAAGTAGGCTTTGAGACCCAGCGGGCCAGTCTGAAGCTTGGGGTCTTTGTCGAGTGCCCGCTCCTATCCCCGGCAGGTCGCTTTCCACCATTTCCAGGTTTTCCAGGGTTTCCAGGGGGGTCTTGGGAGGGCCCAAAGCCACCCTGGAAAGCGTGGAAAATTGAGTCTAGGAGCTTCATTTTTCCACGCTTTCCACGTTTTCCAGGGTGTTCGGAGTTCGCTTTTGAACCCTGTCCTTCCAGCCCGATTCTGATGTCTAGGAGCTTCACTTTTCCACGCTTTCCATGTTGGCTTTTTGGGCCCTCCCAACACCCCCCTGGAAACCCTGGAAAACCTGGAAATGGTGGAAAGCGATCTGCCCGGCATAAAGGCCTGGGCCTGTTGTGCAGCCTTGCGCGCGTCCCAGCGAGTGCCCTGCGTCCCTAACCCGTAGGCTCCCGACCCCTTGCTGCCCTGCGCTCCTTGTCTTTGCCGCTTTGCCGCGCTCGCAGGTTCAAGCTTTGTCGGGTCGGGGGGTTGCCGGGCGGTCGGGCGGGCAGGTGGGCTTGCGTCGGGACCTCAGTTTGCTTGGGTTGCTTCGGTGTTCGGGTTTCCCCTTCCCTAACCCTTTCTGGTTACCCTGCCCTGCCTTGCTCTGTCAGCGCGCCTCTCCCCCTTCAAGGCCCTCCCCAACCTCCCGCCTCGCCCAGGTCCTCGCCTTCATGTTCCGTGGAGCTCCTCACTCAGAGTGCTGACCAGGGTGTTGGAAGGGTTTGTGGAGTGTCGTGCAAGTGCACAGGAGGGACCTGCGCTGCTTCCCGTAAACCTAGAGTGCCCCGCATTCCCCCTTCCCGGGAGCCCCGGCCCCTCCTTCGCTTCGCCCAGGTTTTCCTGCGAGCGTCTTCGCCGACTTCGAAACGTCTGGAGCCCTGTGCCTCTGCAAGAGTTGCCTCTTTGAAGCCGGCTGGTTGGCATGTTTCGATGCTTTGGAGTGCTCTTGCTCGACAGCATCGGGGCCCCACTGACAGGGGTGAGCATGCTTAGCGCCGACGCATGCCTGGAGAATCGAAGTCAGTGCGAGAACTTCATTCACATACTTGGTTAATGTGGCTAGCTGCCAAGCTAATACCACGAAGCTATCATCGTTCACATACTTGGTTAATGTGGCTAGCTGGTAATACCACGAAGCTATAATCTGTTGCCATGGTTCGCGTCGTATCACTGAGCGGGCGAGAGGTCGACGTCCGCTCGGGTCCCGAGGACACCTTGGGCGATATCGCCGAGAAAGCCAGAGTGGCACTCGGCACCTGCCGCGGACGGCTTCTCCTCGGCACCGACGTCCTCGACTTCGACAGCAAGATGAAGGATGTGGGGGATGGAGTCCTGACGTTCCAGTCAATTTTGCCCCGCACGCTGGCGAGTTTGAGGGCATACACGATCCTGTACGGCGACGGCACCGCGGAGGCGGTGGGGGACCCTGATCTCGGTGGCCGAGGTGGCGCGCAGGGGGTGAAGGCGGTGCAGTGCACCTGCCAGGCCTTTGCAGCCCTCTTGGATGATGGATCGGTCGTGGCTTGGGGACAGGAACTTGCCGGCGGCGATGCGAGTGCAGATTTTTACCAGGAAGAAATCGTGCAGATCCAATCCACCGACACCGCCTTCGCGGCCATAACGATCGACGGCGCGATCGATTGCTGGGGTAACCCGCACACAGGCGGGTTGGGGCCCCTTCAGCCTGGCGATGATGGTGAACCTGTACGGCTTGACGTGGAGGCAGTGATCGCCATCCAGTCCACTGAGGGCGCCTTCGCCGCGATTCTCCATGATGGCAGCGTCGTGGCCTGGGGTGATGAAGATGCGGGCGGCGACAACCGCCTGGTCCTACCGGCGCTGAAGAATGTCGTGAAGATCCAGGCGACGGCATCGGCCTTCGCGGCCATTATGGCCGACGGTAAGGTGTCTTGGTGGGGTGACCCGGAAGCAGGTGGCGACGGCTTCTGGTCCGAGGATGGGGAGGACCTGTGCGGGGTCGTCGACGTACAGGCCACCAGGTTTGCCTTCGCCGCAATCACGTCCAGCGGCTCCGTGTACGCCTGGGGTCACGAGGCGGCTGGAGGCGACCTGGGTGGCCGCGTCATCACGGACGACGTGGCCATCCAGGCAACAGACCAGGCCTTTGCCGCGATCCTGAAGGACGGCTCCGTGCGGGCCTGGGGCCATGAGACCGGCGGTGGAGACTGCGAGGCCGTGCGGGACCGCTTGGTGAAGGTCCGAGAGATCCAGGCCAACGCCCAAGCCTTCGCGGCCATCTTGGAAGACGACTCCGTGGTGACCTGGGGCGATGCCGACTTTGGTGGCGATGGGCCGTCATTGCAGAACGTGAGGTGCATCCAGGCCTCGGCAGACGCCTTTGCAGCAATCCTGTATGATGGCTCCGTGGTCACCTGGCGGGATGCCGCGGCGGGAGGAGATAGCAGTGGAGTGCAACATCAGCTGCAGGATGTCATCCATGTGAGTTCGGGTACGGGCTTCTTTGTAGCAACTTTGGGCGATGGCACCACCGTACATTGGGGTGCGATCTGAATCCCCTGGCATGGCAACGGCGCCACAGTACAGAGGCGGCGCATGCCGGTCGAGTTAAAAGAAGTGCCCTGTGCTGCAAGTTCGAGAGCCTGCAGCCCCGAGGGCCCTGCCCTCTTGCTCTGCCCAGGTCTCTTCGGCGCGGCGCCTGGAATGCTTGTGAAGGGCTGATCTAAATGAATCACTCCCCCTCGCTCCCAGGCCTGGAGTCTTCGGCACGGCTCGCGACGGCTTCGCGCATCGCCTGGGCCCTGGTGCTCTCTTTGCTGCCTCTTCGAAGCCGGCTGGTTGGCATGCTTGTGCACTCGTCGCAGCTTTGTTGATTTCCCGAGCCCCCCAGCTTCAGGGCTAGGTGCGATGACGCACTTTCGCCGCTCGACGGCCGTGCACGTGGTCCTCGACCCCGCGCTGCCCGACCTGGCTCGGGTCGGCGCTCGCCTCGGCTTGGGCGACTATCCGGCCTGCTGCGACTGCCTGCTGGAGCTCCTGGACGCGAGCCGGTGCTCCGAGTCTGACCGGATCACGGTTCAGCGAGCCAACGCTGAGTTGCAGAGGCTCCGGAACAAGCTGGACCTCTTTCCCGAGTCGGAGCTGTCCAAGGCTCGCCAAGAGGCGCAAGGGGCGCCATCTGCCGCGGAGCAGATGTTTGTGACGCTGCCTTCGCAGTCGGCATCTGCCAAGAGCCGCTCCGTTCTTCAAGGGCGAGGTTTGGGAAGGGGCTCCTCTGCTCCCAAGGCCAGTTTGGACAAGTTCATGAAGCAGATGAGGAATACGACCGAGGTTGCACAGCCCAGCGAGCCGGTTGCAGAGCCCAGCGAGCCGGTTGCAGAGCCCAGCGAGCCGGTTGCACGCAGCGAGCCGGTCGCACGCAGCGAGCCGGAGGTTGCAGAGCCCAGCGAGCCACAGTCCAGCGAGCCGATTGCACACAGCGAGCCGGTTGCAGAGCCCAGCGAGCCGGTTGCACAGCCCAGCGAGCCGATTGCAGAGCCCGCGGTTGCACTCAGCGAGCTGGTTGCAGAGCCCAGCGAGCCGGCGCAGCCCAGCGAGCCAGAGCCCGCGGCGGCGCAGGTTGCATTCAGCGAGCCGGCACAGCCCAGCGAGCCGGCGGAGGAGGCATCAGCCGAGCCGGAGCCCTTCATGAACGGAAAGCTGGGCGAGCCGCTCAAGGAGTACAGGGACCACGTGGTTGCGAAGCAAGACTTTGAGCACTACGGCCCGGACTGCCCGCTGGAGGAAGTCCGACGCTTCCGGGAGTGCCTCTATCGCGACGAGAAGGACACGGCGAACTTCAACCCCTACTGGGTCGTGCTGGAGTTCCCCACTCGCACTGGTGTGGGGCAGCTGCCAGAGTGGAACGGCGCGATGGCCTTCTGTCTTCGCGAAGGCGATCCCACGAACTTCATGCTCGTGAGCAAGAACAAGGGCGTCGCGGTGCGGGCCGAGAACGTCTTCAAGGTGAAGAAGGATTGCCTGCCCGCGCTGTTCTCCGCGATCCTCCAGGCCGGCTGGCAGCGGGGCAACATCCGCATCTTCGACAAGGGGGGCCTACTCGCGGCGGAGTTTTCCCCACGGGCGGCGCTCCGAAGCCTGGAGCACCTCGACCCCGTCGGCTACATGTCCCACATGGCCAAGCTGGAGGACCGCTTCGGAGGCGACACGGCCCTGCGGACTCGCAAGCGCAAGGCCACGACCGAGGATGAGTACATCTACGTGCAGCGGGAGGCCCTCAACAAGCTCCGCAAGGCCGTTGATGAGGAAAAGGAGGCCAAGGCGATGCTTGCGAAGTCCACGCTTTCCATCGCAGACTTCAACTACGAGACCTGCCAGTGCTGGTATTGGGACGAGCCGAGTGGCTGCAAGAAGTCCGTGCCCTTGGACGAGGCCGTTGCCACCGCCATCCAGACGAGGAGAACCATAGTGCTTTACGGGCCTCCAGGTCGAGGCAAATCGCCCTTCGCCAAGGCACTGGCCGGCTGGTACATGCAGCACGTCCTGGAAGGCAAGATCGACGAGATGATCTTCACCGGCACCGTGGACAGCCTCCGCAAGGCGTACCAGTTCAACCTGCTTCAGGGCGGGCGGCCCCTGGTTTTCGATGATCTCCTTGCCAACCGGCAAAACGTGGGGAGCCAAGGCGGAGGACCGGACTTTGTCAAGCAGCTCTTGGGCATCTCCCGGGATGATCGAGCGACTCTCCAGAGTCGCTACGCAGACATGCAGATCCCGCAGGATTGCCTGAGAATCATGACAGTTCAAGATGTCGACAAGGTGCACCCGGGGCTCCAGGTCATGCACAGCGCCACGGAAACCCACATCCCCAAGGAGTTCTGCGGGGACTTGCATGACATGCCCATCAAGGAGCATTTCGACGTGGACCGCCGGGCAATCCTCAAGAGGATGGTCGCGATCTTCGTCCCCGATGGCATCCTGAAAGGCGAGGTGCTGGGTGGCCGCGTCGAGTCTGATCAGGAGAACATCGCCAGGCTGCGGGAGCTCTGGAGTAAGACCGTCGGCTGAAGCCGCGGCGATCTTTTGGCACAGCGGTCAGTACAGGACCCCAGCTGTGCCCTTAGGGCCTCAGGGCCTGCGCGTTCGGCGCAGCTCCGTACAGGATCCGCTGCCGCGCCCGTGCAAACAGTTTCGCAGCTTCAAGCCTTGTGTGCCGTGTTGTAGGATGCTGCAGGTCGCTTCTGTGCTTTTTTAGCTCCGTCACTCTGAACCCCTTCGCCTCGCTCAGGTTCGAACCTGCGTCACTGTGCTGGTGCCTCTGTTCAGGGTTTTTTCGGACTTTGCGATTGTGGGGGTTGTTGTTCCGTGCGCGCACAGGAGGGCCCTGCACTGCTTCCCCCATCCCGTAAAGCTAGAGTGCCCTGCGACCCCGGCCCTGTTCCCGGGAACCCCGGGCCCCTGGCCCCTCCACAGGTTCGCGGATGGTTGCGCTTCCAGCCCGCTTCTATCTCAGGCAGGTCGCTTTCCACGCTTTCCAGGTTTTCCAGGGTTTCCAGGGGGGTCTTGGGAGGGACCACAGGCCACCCTGGAAAGCATGGAAAATTGAGTCTAGGAGCTTCATTTTTCCACGCTTTCCACGTTTTCCAGGGTGGCCTTTGGGCCCTCCCAACACCCCCCTGGAAAGCGTGGAAAATTGAGTCTAGGAGCTTCATTTTTCCACGCTTTCCACGTTTTCCAGGGTGTTCGGAGTTCGCTTTTGAACCCTATCCTTCCAGCCCGATTCTGGTGTCTAGGAGCTTCATTTTTCCACGCTTTCCACGTTTTCCAGGGTGTTCGGAGTTCGCTTTTGAACCCTATCCTTCCAGCCCGATTCTGGTGTCTAGGAGCTTCATTTTTCCACGCTTTCCACGTTTTCCAGGGTGTTCGGAGTTCGCTTTTGAACCCTATCCTTCCAGCCCGATTCTGGTGTCTAGGAGCTTCATTTTTCCACGCTTTCCATGTTGGCTTTTTGGGCCCTCCCAACACCCCCCTGGAAACCCTGGAAAACCTGGAAATGGTGGAAAGCGACCTGCCCGGCATTGAGGCCTGGGCTTGTTCAACTCGGCGAGCCTTCAGCGGTGATCGTCCGGAGCCCAGGTCCCGTCGTGCTTAGCAGCCTTGTGCAGCCTTGTGCGCCGCATTGCACGTGCCTTGCGCGAGTTTTGTGCCCTCTCGAGCCCCCCCTTGCAGCTCCCTGATCACGCACGATGCCGCTGGAGATGATGTGCCGTTGGCGCCGCGCCGCATGTGCGCCCAGGCGCTTCACGCAGTTGCACATGGTGCCTTGGCTCCTGGTGCTGGACTTCTTGATCGAGGTGCCCACGGAGCTGGACGAGGAGGCCGCCATCGGCATGGAAAGCCTCGGACGGCTCAGCAACTGCAGCCGGCTACTTCGCAGCTGCATCCACGACCGGGTTCTCACCTGCTACTCCTCCGTGCTTCATCAGTCCCGGCTTTTCATGAGCACCCGCGCGGCCAGCCTGGGTCGTCATCCGAACTTCGTCCTACGGGGACGAATATGGCAGGCCTACGAGGAGGAATCCCGATGGGAGCGCGACGAGATGCACGTCACTCTTGGCGAGCAGATCCAGGCGCAGCAGGAGCGACTCCGCGAGCTTGGGGAGCGCATGCTTGAGGTCAGAGGCCCTCGATCAGCTCGACGACTTGTCGCTTTGACGGTGAGGGTTTTCCTGCAGAACGAACTGTTGGACATCAACTGGCACTTGCGACTCCTGGAGATGGACTTTGCATAGGGGGCTCAGGCCGGCGTTGAGCGCCGCGGCCTACAGGAGCCGCGGCGCCCAAAAAACCCAGTATACAGGCTGGTGTCGCAAGGACTGGCTAGCGAGCCGTTCCTCAGGAGAGGCCTCGCAGCTGAGCCGTGCGATCTAAAAGTCCTTCTGCTGTTCTCTGCATGCATCGGCCTGTTGTGCGAGCTGACCCTGGATTCAGGTCGGTTCGACGCCTTCGAGGTTCGTTTGCAGCCGCCGGTTACCCTAAGCCCCGAACCTTTTGGCCCGACCCTTCTAGAACCCTAATCCCTACTAGGCTGCCCTGTGAGTGCCCTGCGAGTGCCCTGCGTGTCGTGTGGGTTACCCTAAGTCCCTGGCCCGAACCCTTAGAACCCTCCCTACTAGGCTGCCCTTGCATCCGCCCTGTGTGTCGTGGACGGGAACGGGGAAGGCTTGAAGCTCCGGTCGGGCCCAGAGGCTTTTTATTTATATAAATAAAAACTTCCGGGCTTCCCGGCTCCCGCAGATCCCGCCGAGGCGATCACGGCGGCGCCGTGGGCCCGGGATTGAAATCTCTAAATTGCCGCACCGCTAAAGGTACCGGCCTCCGAGTCAGCCGAGCTTTAGGCTCCGCGGAGCCGCGAGGCACAGGAAGCGCATGCTTCAGCAGGGTCTCCGAACCGTCGGTGGCCCGCACCGTCATCGAATCGTAGCTCGAAACCTCCCGCACCGCCCCGTACTGGGGCTGGAAGCTCCTCGCCGCATTTGTGGGGGCCCGGAACGCCCCCGCCTCCTCGAGCCGCCGCTGACGGCTCCTCGTCAACTCGTCGTTGTGCTTGAACTTGGCCGCATTGTCTTGATAGACCCGGAAGCTCGCGGCCGGCATCGTCTCCACATCCTCGGGGGCCACCGTCACGGCCGCATGCGGCCTGGCATTGTAGGCTTCCGCCGCCTCTTCCACATGGTCGCCCCAGCCCCCAGCGTCCCGGGCCACCTTCCCCGCGAGGTCTTTCTTGAGCGTTTGGATCGCCCGGTCCACCACCGCCGTCGCATTGCGGTCCGAGGGGTCCTTCTGGCGGTGCACCGCGCCTCCGGGCAGCGCCGCCTCCAAACCCCGAAATTTGTTCCCATGTCCGTCGTGACCACGACGTTGGTTTCGTCCTGGACCAGCTCGGGGATGATCTCCGCGGCCGCCCGGGTGACGGTCTCCGCCCGCTTGTCGGGCAGGGCCTTCGTGGCCACCTCCCGGGTGAACACATCCGTGACCACAAGCCCGTACTTGTTCGCCCCCCTCGTGTTCTGGGAGAAATCCACCAGGTCCGCTTGCAAGCGGTCGTTCGGCCCCTCCGCCGCGCTCTTGCCCAGACTCCGCGGCTTGGGCGCGAGCACCTGCCGCGCCACGTCGCTGCGCAATGCCGCCTGGGCCCGCGCACTCGTGAGGTCCCGCCGCTCCGGGAACTCCCGTCGAGCGATCTGAAAGAGCTTGCGGGGATCCCGCACGTTGAAGTCCCGGGCCAGCCGCCCTAAGAGCTCCACCGCCCCGTCTTCCGCCATTTTTACGGGTGGTGCGTTTGGCGTACCCATGTTTGGGCCCAAAACGCCTTCGCTTCCATCATGCGTGCGTGAATGAGTTTTATTTCCCGCCGAAAATGTAGACAAAGTTTGTCGAAAAGGAAAACAGTGTTTTCACTGCGTGTTGAGAACACTAGACAACACTTTGCCGTGCAGCTTTCGGCTTGAAGTTAGGATCTGTGATCCTAAAAATTTTTCTGGGCTAGTAGCCCCTGATCTAAAATGATTTTCTGGTAGAGTAGCGGTGGGCTAATTGCCCTTTTGATCCAAAGTGATCTCCTGGTAGAGTAGTGGTGGGCTAGTAGCCCCTCTGTCGGGCCGGTAGTTTCTGTAGTGCCATGGACGGTGCCGTAGCAGCGCTACTGGCAGGCAGGCAGCAGTGCTGCCCATGCCTCTCATCGAAGCTTCATGGCAGTGTCCCGAAGCTTGAGACCTTTATGCAGTTTACTCACTGTTTAGTAAGCAGTGCTGGCAATCTTGCTGCCGGTCGGGATCTGAGTGCAGTGTCCAGCTGTTCCTCTCGCGGGGCTCCACCAGTTTTGACAGCAGGGCTTCGGGCAGGTAGGCAGCAGTGCTGCCGTCGCTTCGCATATCTTTGCATCCTAAACCTCAGGGTAGCACCCTGAGGCCTGCTACTTTCATGCCTGCTTTGTGCTGTTTAGCAAACAGTAATGGCCAGGCTTGGCCCCGGTCAGCGTTCAGCAGTGCTGCAGGCATGTTGGCAGGCAGCAGTGCTGCCCATGCCTGTCGTCCCACACTTCAGGGCAGTGCCATGGTTGGTCTAGGCCGTGCCCTTAATGTAGAGTCTGCATTACATTGGCACCTTGGCCAAAGCTGGACGGGTTAGTAGCCCCCCCTTAGCTTCGTCAGTGACGCTCGCACGGACGCAGCAGTGCCGCATGTTCTCGCAGAACACCTGCTGTTTAGACAACAGTGTCTACGGTGCTGCGCTGCTCGGTGTCGCTCTGCAGCGGCGCTGTTGGTGGCTCTGCAGTTCGGCTTCTGCATGCAGCAGTGCTGCACGTAACCAGGCAGCAGTGCTGCCGATGCCTAGTATCATATGCCTCAGGTCAGTGCCCCGAGGCTTCAGGTTCATGTTTTTCGTTCTGCAGGCAGGCAGGCAGGCAGCAACACTGCCTACGCCCTGCATCCTAAACCTCGAGGCAGTGCCCCGGGGTTCGTGGCCTCATTGCAGGCATCTGCTGTTTAGTTAATAGGGTGGTTCTGCAGTGCAGCTTCTGCAGGCGGCCGTGCTGCGAGTAACCCGGCAGCAGTGCTGCCGAGGCCTAGTATCATAAACCTCCGGTCAGTGCCCCGAAGCTACAGGTTCTTGTTTTGGTGCTGCAGGCAGAAGGCAGCAGTGCCGCCTACGCCTCGCATCCTAAACCCTAGGGCAGTGCCCCGCAGTTGAAGTCCCTGCAGGCTTCTGTAAACAGTGTCCTTGCAGCGGTGCTATTGGTGGTTCTGCAGTTCAGCTTCTGCATGCAGCAGTGCCGCAAGTAACCAGGCGGCAGTGCTGCCGATGCATAGCATTATAAACCTCAGGTCAGTGCCCCGAGGTTCCAGGTTCATGTTTTTGGTGCTGCAGGCCGGCAAGAGCGGCACTGCCTATGCCTCGCATCCCGATGCCCAGGGCAGCGCCCCGAGGTCTGAAGCCCCCTTCCCGGCATCTGCTGCTTTGTAACGGTGTCTCTGCAGCCGCGCTGTTGGTGGTTCTGCAGTGCA